GAGCATACACTCATTGTAGCAGGATGTATGACACACGTAAAGAACTTGATTACATTGCAAAATTAGCAAGAGATGTAGGACTTAAGCAAAGTAAAGTAAAAGCCTTAATACAAGAAGCGGAAAAAGGATGCAATAAGACTAAAGATAAGAAAGAAAAAAAGGAGTTCACCGTAATGGAATACAGAGCACCGTTAAGTGGCATATACAGAAAAATAGGAGTAGAGAGCAAAAAGAAAATAGCATATAAGAGAAACACGACAATATTCCAAATGCTAAGAAATGACAAAACACCAATAGACAGGAGGCTAGTTCCAGGTGTGTACAGAATACCGTTGCATGATAAAAGGCTAAAGAAAGAGTTATATTATATAGGAGCCACAAAGAGATCATTAAGAGAAAGATTGAAGGAGCACGAAAAAAATATAAGATCTAAACAACCGATCACGGCTTTGGCCAATTATGCTATCGCGGATCCTGCAGAGATTACAATCGAATGGAGCAAGGCGGATATTGTACAAAAGATCGATAATATACGACATCTAAAGTATGCAGAGGCATGGCACATTTATAAATACAGAGAAAAGGGGCTTAATATAAATTTTCGAGAGTCAAGTAGAATAGCAACGGCATGGAGAGCGGCGGCATTATAAAGAGCTAATGGACATGCGCGATCGAATATCTGAAGATTATAGAACGTGCGTGGTTCGAATTACCGTTGAGAAAGTTCAAATTTTTAAAATATTTTACATCAATCCTGAAGAAGGTCTATAAATTAGACCGAAAACGTTAGAGAACTGACAAAAGTAGACTGCATTTTAAAGGTATAGTGAAATGTAGTAGAAATGGAAATTAAGGAGCATAGATAGGATGAATTGTAAATATATGAATGAGTCCGAATCAAGATACAAATTCATTATTATTATTGTATTATTAAATTTCTGGTTAACAGAAGTCTAATTATATACATGAATGAGTTAAAAAATATACTCATATATTTACAAATAAAAATTCTTATCTGTAAGGACTATTATATAAAGTAAAAGTGCAAAGAAAAAAATAGTTAACTGTATTGAAAACTTCATTATATAATACATTCAATCTTTGATTTATTTTTATAGCTATTTAACCCTTTAAAAAAGCATATTATAAAATTTACCATTTGCAGAATGCAAAGTTTCATTTCTTGCACTCAAAAACTAACTCCAATGAATAATATACTATTATAAATTGATATATTTTTAATGCATTTTATTTTAACTTAAAATTTCTGACTTTAAAATTTAACTGTAATCTAACTGTTAAAAGTACAGTACTGATATTTGCTTTTAACTATAATTATGCTTATTACTGATTAAAAATCATATATTTTTTGTTCAGCTTAGTATATCTAATAAGTAAAATTATTGTCTACCAGTATTTTATCTTAATTTATTAAAAAAATAATTAAAATTTTATATCATAACACTTAATAATATTTTCCTTACCCTTTACGATCATAATCCATTTTCTCAAACCATTTACGAACTTCTTCATCATCAGTTCGTATATTATAACGTCCTAATTTAAGTTCCATTGTCGTTGGAGAAACGCTTGCAAGGGGCATACTCTCTTCCGCTCCTGTTACTTCTTTGAAGAATTTTCTTGTGAGAGCAATAACTTCAGATAATTGAAGCTTAGGAAGAAATGAGATTATTTGAAAATTTAGTTTTTCTGTAATTTAAAAATGTATATTAATTACTACAAAAGTTAAAATAATAGTTTTATAAGTCATCATTCATAAGAATTTCTTCCTGTAACATTACAGAATTACAAAAACATCAATAACTTTTTAAAGCATTTAAATGGAAATTATTTTTATAACAGAAAGTCAAAATATTTTAATCTGTTTCTGATTATTTTTTATCTTTTCCATCTAAATTTTTAGTCTTAAATTTTAATATGCTGCTAAATTATTTATAGAAAAAAAATCAATATTTTTCATTACCACTTTTGTTCTTAACATATCCTACTAACATGCAAATGAACTTTTGCAATATTTTGTATTAAGCTTACAAATACACTTTATAAGTTAAGATATTAACCCTTGTATTTTTATATGAAATTGAACTAGATTAACATAAAATTCAAATAAAATAAAAAACCCTACAGAGTTGAAATTTTGCTATTTGGAGAGTAAAGTTTTATTCAAATTACCTCATTTTATTGCACTACATTTCAAATAAATCCTTCAATTCTCACAGTAATATTAATAGCTTTAAATTATTATTAGTTCAAATATAAGTAACATCTTATTATATCAATAATAAGAACTGAAATAATAAGAAATTAATTATAAATTAATAATTTAATTTATATTTCATATTTTAGTCATTTAATAAATTTTTAGTTTTAATATTTTTTAACATAATTAATTATCAATGCATCTATTTTAACTTATTTCAGAATATTAATATTTAAAAAAATATCTTGTGACATACTAATAACTGAGGACGTCCTAAAGCAGTCAATTTAACAGCAGCAAATCCTGTTGCTTTTGTGGCCCCTGCAGAATTAATAAGAATAATAATAAATATATAACATATAATATGTATTTGTAAATATAATTTAAACTCTTAATTTTAGCTTGTTTGATAAGTTTGAAAATGTTTTAAGAAGTAATTGAAAAGTTATATTGTTCCAAACTGGATTAGCCATTCTTAAAATATATCTTGGATAACTGATTTTTGGGTCATTCTATATTTTTTCTCATTAATAAAACTAGGCAAATCAATGTCCCTCACTAACTTCATTTCTTCAATGTGACAGTATTTGCTGTCAAGGAACCAATTTTTTTATATGCACTGTAACCCCAATTTACAAGAATAACTTGTTCCTGAAAACCTCTCATAAATAAGGATAACTTTCTCATTATTTCTTACATAATCCATTCCAATATAACCTATCACAGTATCCATGATTCCTACAACATTAAAGTGTTGCAAAACAGCTGTTTACCTATCAACCAATCATTCTAAATAGAATGAAATGAAATAAATGAAATTGTTAATTAGATTATTCACCAATATAAAAGAAAATAATACACAATAAATATAACATAAGAGAAGTAAATATGCAAGTTATCAGATGTTTCTTTATTTAATGATAAGTAAAACAGGTAGTTAAGACCAAGGCTGGAAAGTCTGTGTTGACAGGAGTTGGCGGAAGTTTAAGAAGTTGATGTTAGTGTCTGAAAAACATTTACTGACTCCAATCCATAATTTTTTTATTTTCCAGGTTGTTATAAAATATGATAGGGGTAGACAACTTTTTAAATGGCAGGCCAAATAAAATGTGAAAGTGCATGTACAGGAGTTAAATTTTCTAGGTTTTTACAACATATAGCTGGCTGAGTCAACAAGTCAATTGCAATTAACCAGCTGATTGAAAATGATGGTGAAAATGGTCGAAAAGAATGTATACAAAATTATAATAGATTGGGTAACACAAAGAATTGGTATATAATATAAACTTATAACAGTATAAGTTTAATGTATATTATTTTGCAGACCATTCACTATATGTATTTTGAAAACATCCACAGGTTGTTTTGAAAAAATCCAAATTACATATAGTTGGCCTGCAAGCTGTATGTTGTTTGGAAATATATTGACCAAGGGACATGGTCAATATATTTCCCTTGTCAGACATGAGTCAAATTTTGACCATCCTGTATTTTTTTTTTTTTTTTTTGTCATATTGACACTGCATGAGTCCAAAAATGTAAAAGAAAAACCACTACAAAAGTGTGTATGTGTGTTAAAAAATGCTTAAAAAGTAGCCTGATGATTCACTTGGTAGTGATGAATGTCCATCTGGATTAATATAATCAAAATATATTTTAAATTATTATTTAGAGGCAGGAATTGATGTAAAACTTTCTAAAATTCTATGATTTGGAGTCAGGGGTTTGGTATTTTGACTCCATAGTTCTGGTTAAGACGTAAAACAGAAAACAAAGCAAATAAAACTGTAATCACTACTAGAAAGGTTTGTAACGTACAGATTAAGTTCAATAAACTGCACAACTGTATTAAAATGAATGGTAATACTTTTAACGAATATACAGTGCAAATGAAACAGAGAAGGTGGAAGCTGGAACTTTCAAGTTATCTACTCTTGTCACAAATGATCAGAAAAAACATTTTGTTCTCATAAATATTAGTCAGTGCTTGTTGTATAAAATATTTTATCTATTAAAGCAGGAAGAGAGATATAATAAAGAAGCTTGTTGTATTAAGTTCTTGTAAATTTAATACTCATATAAGATATAAGATAGGCATTACCACTTTCAGGACAAGTTTCAAATTAAACCTTTTTGAAATAAACATAAAAAATGATCAAAATTGATTGAACTCAAATTTAATAGATCAAAATATTTTCCCAAAAATAAATCAAAAACAACTGCAGAAAAATTTTTGTTCTATAAATAATGCAACCAAGAAAAATGGTGGTAAGGCATGTGATATTATTTTTTATACAAGATTTGTTTATAATAATAAACAATGTTTGTATTGCTAGTAATGAGATTGACATAAAACAAATACAGAAAGAGAAACTGATGACAACATAAAATGAATGATATAATATATTATACACAGTGGTGATATTCAGCGGGTTCGCACAGGTTTGGCCGAACCCGTTGTTAACATTTTCAAAGTTTTCCGAACCCATTGTTAAACACACATAACATTTCTCAGTGGTTTTGTTTCTTTTAAAAAATATATTAAAATATACGTATTATACTCTGTAACAATACTAAACTAAAGCCTTATACCCTGTTCGCCTAGTGCAACCTCCATCAACTGTTTCAATCTCGACTAAAACAAGGTTCAACGCAATCGACTCAAGAGAGTTCTCAAAACTAGATCCAGTCATAACAGAGATCCCACAATCCCATGCGCGTGAGAAAATACAAGATGGCTGCGGAACACGTGTCGGGCTATCAACAGCGAAATAAGAAAGATATTGTATTTCAAGAGAAGATGACATCTATCTATTATTATAATAATACCTAACGATAAAATAAATGACATTTAGAAAAATTTTTCTTGTTTAACTGCTTTCCATATGACTTTTTCTGATTAAAATAAAAGCCAATTTTTATGTTTATAAAATATTTTGAATGAAAAATATTAAAATATGTACAAAATAAACCATTTTGAACACTCTTTTTTATTATTTATAAAAAAAATATAGTTCTGGCATAAACAATGTTAAATTTTAACTGACTTAATTTTGCAAATGCATCTTTTTTATTTATATGGATATCTTAAGGTCAGTTTTTGCGCTAATGTTGCTAATGGACCATTTGAACGAAAAAAAAATTGTTAAGGAAAAATTTTCTGTTAGCGAACCCTTTGTTAAATATTTCGAATATCGCCACAGATTATACACTAATGTAGGCCGAAACATAATGTTGAACTAAAATATTAATTCATGGAATTAGAAATAATCATAGTGATAACTATATTCTGTGAAGTGGCATATTAAAACATTTGCAAAACTGTAATCTTTTACATCATCTATTCATTAAATCTTCTCTTATATTTTTTCTTGTTATGTTTTTCATTACAAAAATAAAAATAAAAGCAAGGACAGTTTCACTTTAAAGTTGTATTTCTTAATAATCCAGAACTCTGGTTAATACATCAGTCTAGAATTTAACATCTTTTGGGAATAACAAATCAATCTATAATTTCACATCTCAACTACTTTATAAATCTTTTTTTAAAAATTATCATTAGAAATGCATAAAATTTCCTGAAAAGAAAATCATGTTTGTTTTCTGTGTTTTGGATAAGGTGTAGTGTTAAAATAATATCATAAATTTATATATCAAATCTATATCTATAAATGAAAATGTTTGTTTGTTTGTTTGCTATACACTGCTAGGCCATTCCACCAATTGCTACAAAACTCAGCAATTACATTAAAATGCTTCTTATATAATGTCATACATCCCATCCCAAAATATTGATTGTATTTTTATATAGCAATTACTTTCTGTTTACATTGCCTTTGCTAAATTTAGATGTAGCACCATCTATTGGCAAAACATTAAAAAATAGATAATAAAAATTTATACAAAAATGAATATGACCAACATAGAAACACATCCCTGCTATTTTATTGGAGACAAAATGTAAACAAATGTAAAAATCACTTGATTTAGTTGTTTCTTAAGCTCTAATTATATGTTATGTAATATATGTAAATAATTGCTTATAAAATCCATTGTTTCAACTGTTGTAACAATGGTTTTCCATGATCCATATTCTATTTATTGAAGGCTTTATATACGGCATAAATTACTGTGAAGATTCCATGTGAAACAATGAAGAGGGCAAATTGATAAGAAATTCTTTACTCATAGAGTCAGAAAACAGAATGTTTAGATTTGAAATGTGTTTTTTTCAAGAAATTATTCATCAAGTGTCTTGCCCCTGTACATATACTTTTCCTGTTCGAAATAGGTCATCTATGTAACTCTTTTCAGGAAAAATATTTGAATTGAAATAACGTGAATTCCAGTGCAAAGTGTACATTCTTATATTGTTAATTGGGGCCTCTTGCCCCTAAGCTTTCCAGATATGGTCTTAATATTCATCTACCTAACATCAATCTCATAAGTAAGGAAGGACAGATAGACAAATGGACAGATGAATTTATAGATCCACAATTTTTTAAATTGCAGCCCAATAACACTTCTTTATATACAATATTGAATGTATACAAACAGAGTGTATACATAAAAATTGTTAACAATTCCTATAATTTGATATATACAGTACATACACCTTGAAAAAATTTTAAATCCTAACAAAAAACCTTAAAAAAATTTATATCTGAGCAACACTGGGCATTTATTTACAACACTGCTAATTGTAAGTAAATTGGAAAAAATTTAAATAACCTTAAAATAACCTTTCAGTATAGTTGTAAAAATTATTTATAGAAAGAGATTTATATCACATGACAAAGTAAATATCTTTAACACAGAATAGGTTACAGACAGATCTTAAAGTTGATAATTATAAAAAAAAAAAAAAATTTTAAATAATCCTTTTTAGAAAATCTCATACAGAATAATAATAATAAATAGAAAAATCTTAAATTTGCAAATATATGAAATAATTATTGAAAATTAAGAGTAATGAACTAATATACATTACAAGACTATCTATAACTGAATCATTTAAGATAATAATAAATACAATTCACCGTTAAAACCATACAAGTGAGAAATGTAAATTAATAAATATTAATCTTAGAAGCTAAACACACAAATATTTAAGAAAAGAACATAAAAAGTATATAAAATCTTCTCAAGTTCTTTTTTTAAATGTTTATTTTGTTGGCTTCAAGAATTAATATTTATTAATTTATCTTTCTCAATTAATAAAATGAAGAATAATTTAAAAGACAGAAGTACTTTGCCAAATAAAAGAATAGATGAAACATTGAAACATGTTCTCAATATCGTAATAAATTCTTTTAATTAAAATCTAATTTATTAAAAATTATATTTAAAATTTTAAAAATTTACCTGCAACTGCATCTATACACTTTAGAAAAGTTTCCATATTCCTTTCACATTGCGCTTCACTGAGATAAAAGTACGTTCTTGCTTTCACATAATGTTTACGACGGTCGGCAAATTCTTCGTACATTTGATATTTTTTTAATTCACCTGGACAAAAATCAAACATTATTCATTTTGTGATAAGATTAAAATTATTTATTCAAACAATCTAAATTTAATTTGCTAACCTGTTTTACTTCCTTTAGAATCAGCAGGTGCTTTAGGAGTGGAAGGTTTCAAAGGTCTGAAGAAAAATATTACATTTATAAGTATAAAAAAATATATATATATTAATTTAACTTATTACAATATAAATTCTGTGTGATGATTGACCCATTTTTAAAATATGCTGTATTTTATTAGAAAGATAGCACTAATCAGTGATATTGTAGCCAAGCATTTCAAAATTTGTAACCTATAAGTATGACATTATCGACACTATCTCTTCTTTTGTTTTACAATAGGCATGTTCCAGAGTAATTAGATGGCATAATAAAAACAATTATACCACCCAAAATAATGTTATTCCACAAAGCATAGATTCATTTATAGCATTAATATGATACTAATGGCTTACTATCAGTTGTTATGTTAAAGACCTAAGATGATCATGCTCTTTAGTCAAATATCATATTTTATGGCATATACAATATACACCAGGGGTGTCAAACTGGCGGCCCCCGATGTGATTTTTCATGGCCTGTGGCCACAATGCTCTGAAATTAAATAAAATGGCTTACAGATCAAGATTAACTGATAAACATCTATCTGCAATAATTACGATTGTTCTGTCTTTGAATACAGATATTGGAAAACTAGGAGGAGGAAGATAGCACTGGCAAGTTTCTGGTGAAAACAATTAATATTAGTTTTATAAATATGTACATTAAATAAAATAAATGTTTAAATAAAAGCAATACTATAGCAATTATATATTGTTGAGTTGAATTCATTGAACTACATAATGTGTTTTAATTGCCCTATCTATATTCCTGCATTCTCACTTCAAACTATAATTTTAAGTAAATTTGTAAATGCGATGTGACCCGCATGAATTTTACAAGTCGCATTAACGGTCCGTTGTTTAAATGAGTTTGACACAGCTGATATACACTCATTTCAGTACAGTATATTGAGAAAAAGTATTTAGCATATTTAATTAAGCAATTCTTCACCTTTGGTGCTCTGACCCAAAATTCTTTTTTTCTGTATTCTGCTCAAATACGTAAAATTAGAATGTATATTTTTATTTATTAGGGAAAAAAGAAGAGTTTAAAAGAAGTCTTTTACAATTAAAATATTCAACATGTATATATGCAAAAGCTTGCTGGCTATAGTAAATAATAATAATTTTTAATTAAACAATATTTTCATTCAAGAGTTGGGCTGGGAAAAGGTTACTTGTAGCCCACTGAAGGCCATTTGGAAAATGCATTAGCCTATGAAAGATCACAACTTCACACATATGACAAAAGGCAATTTTTCTTTATACCCTTTGTTTTTGGATAAAAGTTGCATCTTATATGCCATAAAATATAAGCTTTGATACTATGCAGATACAATGAAAAATAACGATTTCAGTCATTCTGACAATTACATAGCTATATGATAAAATGTCAGCCTACCATAGCAAGGAATGTCATTTTCTTCTTCTATTCTTAGTAAAATAGATTATTCTTTATGTTCATTACCTAGATTAATCTTGTCTATACAAAATTCTAAATTTCTAAAAATGCAAACTGTACCAGCTCAATGATAACTTTCACCTGATTTTTGCTGCTCCATCTCCCAGAATGATAACTAATAGGGAGCACTTCTAGCAATGGCACTCTTGTATCAATTATTTATAAACAACTTTAAAGTACACTTATAGGACTTTATTGTATTTGGCTTATTATTTTTCTCCTTTTAAACATTTTTGGCCACTCATTTGTCACCTCTCTCATATCACCATCACACAAGTCATTAATATAATCATTACATGTGGCTTAAATTGTTTTAAGATTTAATCAATTAGTCTAATATATTGGTTCCAATACAATAATGAAAAAATATAATTTAAAAACAATATAATAAAATAAATACAGAATTGTTTTTCATGATAATAGCAGACTGATAACATTGAGGTAAGTAAATACGATTACAATTAATACAAAGTATGGCTTTATTAACTCTAGTATACTAAAAGGACAAGTTAAAGCAATTAAAGAATGTATGACTCAAAGATTTATTAATTATAATTCATCTGATATTATTTGCTTGCTGTTTCTTAAAGTTTTATCTTTAAGAACAGCTAGCATATAACTGAAGTAAGAAATGCTAGCAATTTAAACTACTGTACTGCAAGCAAACATCAATTAAAACAATTCATATTTAATATTTAAAGCATTGGTTAATGTTTAAAGCTGATAATAATTGCACATTATCAGCCACATGCCGTGGTTGATGACGCAAAAAGATAACTTAAAACGTCTATTTAACTGAATGTAATTAGAAAAATAACTGAATTTTGATTACAATAAGCAAATACTACTGTATACTGCATTTTACTATTATGTTTTATGTCTAAAGACCTTACAGTTAATATTAACAAGCTTCTGTTTCAAGAGTTTACATAATGCAATTCTTAAAAATTACTTCATTTCTGCTTCCTTTGCCTCCTGTTCACTAATGTCCTCTTCAGCACTGTAATCCAGGATTGACTTGACACCAAAAGTATACAGTCTCTTAATGACTGGTTTAATAGATTTTGCATCCTCTCCTCCGACAAACTGACCATAGAATGTGAAGCGCATCAGCTGGCGAAACAAGGCTGGCGTAAGAAGTTGTCTTCCAACTTTCATCAACTTTAACAAAACAACAATAATAATAATAATAAACAACTAAGAAAATTTTTTATTTTTTAAAATTAATTATATTACTTACTATTCGAGAATGGAATCATTACATGGTTAAAATAACACAAAATAAATAATAATTAATGGAATACTAATAATACAAATAAAAAGTTTTTAAGAATAAGATAATTTAAAAAGAAAAAATGTAGAAGTTATTTTATAAAATATATTTTACACTTCAATGACTTCGTATATCATCCATGTGTCATAATATTTATTTAAAAATAGACTTTGTAATGTATAGATGATATTTTGATTTTAAAATATGAATGATTGAAGTTAAATATCAAAGTGCAATACATACAGCAAAATCTATTGAGATACCATCTTGAGTTAGCTAGAATGCAGCTTTCGGATTTAAGTACTGTTTGCATTTATTGAAAATAAATGCATATATATTAAAGCAGAGTTTTTAAAATTCTGTATTCTTTTAAAGTTTGTTTTAAGTTAAATACAATAGATCACAGTAATTACAGAGCACTCTCCAAACCATAATATCCATTAAAAGACAATAAAATTATGTCGAAAATTGAATTTGAACTCCCAATCTGACAAAGTAGGAGTAATATCTTAACATATTATTCTATAAGATCTGCAACAAAATACATTAAGATATTTTTCCTAATTCATTACATTGTAAGTTCAAATCCTTCTGGTCCAATATTGAAACTGCTGGAAGAAATTTAATTAACAATGGCTTACAACTTAATCCTGATTCAACATAAATGAATAAACAAACTTAATTAACTGATGTAATAATTTGTTCTGTGACAAACAATAAACGTATGCTAAAATTAGTATAAAAATTCAACTTAAAAATCAATTTCAATTACTATCATTTATTATTATATTAAATCTTAATTATTTTTTATTAGTGCATCCAACAAGAATATAATATTTAAAGTTTTCCTTTATAACAGACACTAACAAATAATTTTGAATTTCTCAGCTATCCAAAAGTTAAAGAATATTCCTGTTAAAATGTTGGTTCCTTTCTTCTAAAAATGTTTCTAAATAATTTCTAGTTTAAATTTGTGATATGACACAAGTGGCTTTGGCTACCCTCCCAAACAACAATCCTCATTAAAATTCAATAATCACAGACAGACAAAATAGGTTTAAACCTTCAATCTTATGCACTAGAAACATTCTTAGCATAGGTGGCTACTGATTAGAATATTTTTAAAATTTATTTTTAAAAAAATTTTAATTATGAATGTATAATTTTTTAAAACGACACACCCCGTAGTGTAGATAAAATTATAATATGACAGTTAATCATCTTGAAATATTAAGATAAGAATACAAAGGGTGGTTCAGAATGCTTGTGGGACTTGAGAGCCGATTCCGTGGTATATACGAAGGAAAAATTTCCATACGAACACGAGTTACGTTCAATAATATTTGAGTTTAATCACTTCCCCAATCACATACTAGGTAATTTATTTGTTTGCAAAACTAGCTCTAAATACCAATTATGGTGCCACATACTAAATCTATATTGAAAAAATTTTTCTCTTACACATGACATTATTTTAATATTTCTGTTTTAAAACTTTTTAAACTGTATTATATTATATGTTAACCATTGTTCTTTTCTACATACTTACGCTACTTCTCGTGACAAGTTATACATTTAAGCACCTTGCTGCTTTGCAGCATTTCCTGGGTTGTACTGCACCTTATTCTCCAACTAGATCAACAACTTCCTGGGCTCCTTTTGTATTAAGACGTGCGTCATTATTCTGTTACATCTCGTTTCTACATCCAAATCACATTTTTCGAGTTTCTCTGTATAACGATATCCCGTCAACAACGATTGTATTTATGTTGTATTACTATCTATCTTTGTTATTATGTACCTCTACTCCTGTAAACAACTGTAATTATTGTACATGGCTGGAATTTAGATATATCAATACTCGTAGATAACATTATTTTCTTTGTATAACATCTTTTTTACCTTTGTTACTTCTGTAATTCATGTATTGCAAACAAGCCGTACTATAATTTATCACGTTTCCACACCCGGCAGTGCGTTGCGGCACCGGGAACGTACTTATTTTGTATATAATAAACGATATTGACCGACCGACTGTTCTTTTCTACACACATTACTATATTCTTATGTCTAAGGATTTTAACCTATCAACAGTTAGTGCCGGATTTATAAATTTGGTACCGGTCCATACCCAGGATGCCAAACTTTAGAATTAATACCTTATTTTCCCCTTATTAACGTATGCACTTATAATAAATTATTAACCGACCGCTAGATATTTCAAACGTATCGAAGAAGTAACTCAAATTACGATAAAGCGATACACGGCAACGCGAATATTTTGTAAATTTCAAACTAGGGGTTTCAAAGTCCGCCGTACCCGGAGCTCCGAGAATTTAAAACCGTCGAGGTAGGCGGCAATAAATCGTCGGCAATTAAAATTTGTTAACAAATCTCATTTTAACACCTCCAGACGATAAACGGACATCTTTTACTTTTATAACCGTATAAAACACGGTCCAAAAACAATGTTAAACATTCACATTTTCATTTCTCCGGCCTACATTATTATTAAATTTTTAATTATTCGAAATAAATAAATAAAAATCCCTTTTATGGTTTCTTGGTTAATTTAATAAGGGGACATTTTAAGGTCGCGTGTTTATTTATTAATTGAAGTTTTGGCCTTTATGTTTAAAAATAAAATGAAAGTAGATTAGATTAGAAAAAATACGGCATATCATTTCATTGATTAGTTCATTTATTAATGAAAGAAATCGATGAGATAACCTTTGATTCGTGTAACAGATTATTATCGGAGTGTCTAGTATTGTTGTAATGAATGAATCTGTAAATTCCACGTTGTTTACTCGCCTAGAATTACGGTTTACGCGAATTTTCGCGTTTTGATGTAATTAAGAGGGAATTTCGGTGGAAGCAAATACTCACCCGTTGGTGATTTTCCACGAGATAATCGTAGGAACACAATTTCAAGACGATAAATCCCCGAAGAAGTTCCAAAGTTTTTTTACTCTTGTAAGCATCTTTGGTGTTGGAGAAGGTTAAATCCAAAGGATCTTTCTGCGAAGGTTGCTCTTCGACGTTCTCTTGGCTCGACAGAACGTTGGCCGAATTTGATTTTAATCGCTTCGTTAAATATTTACATACGACGTAATCTCTTTTTAAACAGTTACAATTATATCTTTCGAAGTACTTTACACCTTTCGAGACGAATATCATGCGACCGACGGAAGCCATATTGGACCGGCGACACTCCCATTTAAAGCGTGCCAAATTATTCGAAAAACATCAGAGAATTATTTATTTATTCTCTACTATACTCGCGTAATAATAATTATTATTACTTTCTTATATATTATTTATATAAATATAATTCGAAAATTTCTTTATTATAAACACAAATTTAACGACAATTCCAATCCGTATTCAGTTTTCAACTAGTAGCTCGCGAGCGAATTTTTGCCTAGCGTTACGGTTAAGAATGGAAAAGGTTGGGACTTTAACATCCGACGAATAAATAAATCGTTTTTACCCCCCCCCCCGATGATTATCGTCGAGTAAAAATTTTAATGGCGAACAAATGGTAATTTTTATTAAAGAAACTCCTCAGAATTTGTCTTAAATATTTCTTATATTGTGTCTTGTATGTTGTATTCTTGAAAAGCTTGTTTAAATAAATTTCATGCTCCCCGGTTTTAAATCCATGCCTCGACCATCAAATCTTCGAGGTCCACTTTTATATGTAGTTTTCTATTATTCTCTTATCTTAGAATTATAGAAAGAAAAAGTTCCTCCTTTTACAGAAACAGATGGATTATAGGAGAAATGTAAGAAATGGTCTTTAAAAATCATATAAAAATTATACTGTTATGAGTGATAACTTATACTGTGCCTAGAGGTCCTAGCATCGGTTATCATTAAGGCAATGTTGTCCGGACACTAAAAATCATATAATTTTTATAATTGTATGATTTTTAGTGCATGGATGATCTAGTTATAATTGGTAATATTTCATATTATTATTAAATTATTTTTTATAACTGGTGTATAACCACTTCTTTTATAGCTTATTGTATATTAGAAGGTATTGTAATTTTGTTAATAAAAAAATGCAGTTATGAACTTTAAAAAACTCGAGTTTAAAATTTTATTTAGGTCTAGGGATTTTTAAAATGTACATACAACTGATATAAAATCTTAAAATATTTGTAAAAATTAATTTATTAAAATACATAATTTGGCAATAAATAAATTATTTTGACATTAAGAAAAGGAAAAATTATTTAATCCGATTAATAATATGGACGTAAGATTTCGAGGTACATTTTTATATACGTGTCTGATGCGTATTTAATGTTCGAAACGGACACGTGGAACCAAGTATGTGGAAACTGATTTTACAAATACGTATTTTTTAAATCTACGAAAATTCCGTTTGACTCGAACCGATGCATTAATTTTAGTATAAATTGACAGATATGTTTATCTTAATATTTTATTTGATTTGACAATTTTTTAAAATTATATACAATGCTTTCTAAATGTTGACTAACTGTAAATTTAGATATAAATTTTATAAATTAAACAAATATTATTTCAAATAAATTACATTTAATTTACTTTTGTGGCAGATGTAATTTTCAAAATTTTATTATCTTGAAATAATTTTTCGTACAATAAATTGGTATAGATTCCAAATTATCGATATTAAAAAATTACTTTTTATAACACTAATAGTATTGATTGTCATGTTACGGCATTTACAATATTTACGATGTTACGTAAAAGCTAAAACTCAAATCTAATGACTCGTCTTTTTATATCTTTGATAGTGAAACTTAACTTTGTATTTTACAAGGTGTTTGATTATATAATACATAATCTGTATATATATGTACAAGTAGATACGACCGCCGTAGAATGTTCGTCAGAAAAAATCCGAGGCTTTGGGCCTCTTGGGTAACTTCAAGAGATTGTCCGTCAGCGAAATTTCTTCCGATGCCATCTTCTTGAGTCTTTCGCTGCTGACCGGAGTGCTTCTGGAAGAAATAGTTGGTGATGGTGTTTGCAGAGGAGTCTTCTCTCTGGAGGAACTATGGATGGGGGAAGGACTGTAACTTGCTCGTAGTGCCTTGTCGGTCCCACGATTTATGCCGAGTTTGGAACATGCTAACTGTTGCGCGGCGGGAGACATAGAACTCAATCTTTCTACGGGCGTTTTTGGAGTATTTGTTCGGAGATTTGAAGGACTGTATAATAAATTATATATTAATTATATAATAAAATTTTCCAAATATAATATAAAATAATTATTTATAATGTATGATATATATATAATATATTCAAATATATAATATGAAATAATACATTGGTATAATCATAGTATAACATAAGTTTGGGGTATTCCACTATTTTTACAGTTATTGAGAGTAACTCAGTATTTGGTGTTAATTAATTCACACTTTAATAAAATATAAGAAAATGAAATGTTTTTGACAAAGATGCCTTTTCAAAAACTGTTTTTTTGGAATATAAATTATGTTTCCAAAGAAGGTGTCTTTATAAAATTCAAAACTGTTTGATTTTCTCATATTTTATTAAACTGTGTATTAATTAACATTAATACTGGGTTACTCTATCAATAATCTATCCCCATATTAATAGTGAAGAAATGAATAGAGTACGATCACTCTCATCGTCAATGAATTGTGTTGATTGCAAGTATTATTAATACAGCTTTACAAGTAACAATTTCCATTGATAAATAAAGACAAGAACTTAGTTTATGGATAGTTCTGAGAAGACCAGCTAAAACTATTCTTTCTCACTCTAAAGCAGGGATTGCCAAACTTTTTTGATCGTCGACCCCCTACAACTTTTCGAAACCTCACATTGACCCCCATCAAAAAGTTTGTTACAAGCAAAAAAAAAGCACTTACTATTTTAATATATATCTTTTAATTTTACATTTTTTACATTTATTGTACAGTACTTTACTGTACATATGTTAATAATAATTTTTGTAACTGACAATCAATGAGACAGATAAGCTTGATAATCCTTAGCAAGATTAGCAATATTCGGTTCAAAATTTGTAAGTTTTAGTCTTTTCATCGACCCCCCAGTAATGTTATATCGACCCCTGGGGGTTGATATAGACCACTTTGGCGACCCCTGCTCTAAAGCATTCTAATTATAATCAGATTAAAATATGAGATATCTGGGTGAGTAATCCATTTTGAAATGTTAGAAGCTGAATCTTATAAAATGAGCATAATCATCCAGAAAAATATGAGGAACAACAGTATCCAGGAGAGAATGCTGTTGATCCTCAGTTAGGAAAAAGGTTTCTAGAGCTTTACATGGGAGCTCCAGGATTTCATTCTCCTGTGTGTGCATTAATTACGATGCATTCTAGACCAGAACATTAAAGATGAAATAATGCTTATAAATTATTGGAATACGTAACAGTCCAGAAATATATGCAAGTAAAATTAGATGTTTATTGTAGAAACATAACAGTATTGTTTACATATAAAACATTTTCAGCCTTTTTAGGCCATCTTTAAAATTATGGAAAATTTTTAAAATAGAACATTGATCCAAACATTTTAAAATAAAACAACAGTTTAAATTTAAATTAGCATCTAAATTTTCATTTAAAGCGTGCCAAATTATTCGAAAAACATCAGAGAATTATTTATTTATTCTCTACTATACTCGCGTAATAATAATTATTATTATTATTATTATTTATTTATTAATATATAATTCATCCACTATACTTTGCTTGTTAAGTTCTTAAAGAATAGTTCATTTACAGTTAAGAAATGCTAGCAATTTAAACAAATTGCATTACAGGCAAGTAATAATAGATCTTAATGATTATCACTCTTCTTAATCAGTGATAATGATTGAAATGTTGAGGCTGATAGTGCAAAAACAAGCTTAAAAATGCCTATTTACACATATATGATGATAACTATAACCAATTCTCTAATTACAGAAACTAAAGTTTTATTTAATGTGCTTAAACTCATTGTTTTAGGACCTGTTAACTTTGATTATATTAAATGACTGATAACAATATCTGTGATTACAATAAGCTGATTTTAATGTATGATTCACATCTGAATTTTCAAAACCCATAATAACTGTGTAATAATAACTAATGTGTAAAAATAACTGTGTAATAATAACTAATTTTCAAAACCCATAACTGTGTAATAAGTAATATAATATTTAAATGTATACTAAACCAGTTTTAATTCAGTTTTTGTTAGATATTGCATTATCATATAAATTCATATTATAACAACAACTTTTAATTTAGTTGAATAAGTTTCTTATGATAATTTCAAATATATTTTCTCTGTGTATTTCAGTTATTACACCTGACAATCGTTTTGAAATTCAGATTGATCAAAAAAGTATACACAAGGGAAGTTTACTAGAAGATGTTAGGTATATATGCAAATAACAAATGTCATTGTTTCTGATTTATATAAAAATAAAACTTTTATACAAAAAACTAAAAAAAAAGTTGTTTTTAGTCCTTCAGTTAATCCACCTGCTGAAATTGATGATCCAAATGATTCAAAACCTGAAGATTGGGATGAAAGAGAAAAGTGGGTTTTTTATACATATTTTTAATATATATATATATAATCCTATTCATCTGTAATTAGGAAACATCATTTATAATGAATTTCTTTTAGGATTCCAGATCCCAATGCCAAAAAGCCAGACAATTGGNAAAATTGACTTACTAAAATTACATTATAAATTCCTATGTAAAACCAATCTAAATATAGCATCATTATAGCCTAATAGTTTCTAATAAAGTATTGGAATTTTGAAAAAAAAAAAAAAATTACAAAATTTCTTTTTATTTGCTTTTCAAAACCGCAATGCAGCATAATAATCAACACTTGGCATAACTCATTCATTTATTTCAGCTTTTGTTGAGATGCGTTCTACACACATTTCGGGCTTTGTTTTGCCCCTCCTCAGTCAACTTTTAAAAACCCTTTTAAAATCAAAAATTCCATCTTTTGATGTATTTCTACAAGCCGGAATCATACACTATATATTAGATTGTTTCAAGTACTAGGCTGAAATTTAATCCTACTTGTTACCTACCAGACCTAGACTTTCGCAATTAGACTTTACTAGACTTCGAAAAAGATTCTTTGAAATATCAAGAAAAGACTATAACGGACATGTAGCACAGTTCTTCTTTTATACCAACACTAAATAACTCAACNTACTAGGCTGGAGATTTAATCCTACTTGTTACCTACCAGACCTAGACTTTCGCAATTAGACTTTACTAGACTTCGAAAAAGATTCTTTGAAATATCAAGAAAAGACTATAACGGACATGTAGCACAGTTCTTCTTTTATACCAACACTAAATAACTCAACTAAACTTCACAGCATTTAATGGTGTTATTCTTTTATGGTGATTTGCATAAATTTAATAATTGAATAAATTTTTTAGAAGAAAAAATTTTTGGAAGAAAGCATTATTATGCAAATCACCATAAAAGAATAACACCATTAAATGCTGTGAAGTTTAGTTGAGTTGTTTAGTGTTAATATAAAAGAAGAACTGTGTTCATGTCCGTTATAGTCTTTTCTTGATATTTCAAAGAATCTTTTTCGAAGTCTAGTAAAGTCTAATTGTGAAAGTCTAGGTCTGGTAGGTAACAAGTAGGATTAAATCTTCAGCCTAGTACTTGAAACAATCCAATATATAGTGTATAATTCCTGTTTGTAGAAATACGTCAAAAGATGGAATTTTTGATTTTAAAAGGGTTTTTAAAAGTTGACTGAGGAGGAGCAAAACAAAGCCTGAAATGTGTGTAAGAATGCGTCTCAACAAAAGCTGAAATAAATGAATGAGTTATGCCAAGTGTTGATTATTACGCTGCATTGCAGTTTTGAAAAACAAATATAAAGATACAACACTGTTTCGAAATACGAAAGAAAAATTCTTATGAACAAATTCTACGAGTGTCCTTCTTCCTTTTTGTCCTTTCATACACCAATAGGAAATATCCAATCTTGTGGTGAAGTCAACCTTTATTTCCTATTGGTGTATGAAATGACAAAAAGGAAGGAGGACACTTGTTGAATTCGTCCATAAGAAATTTTGTAAATTTTTTTCAAAATTATAATTATTGTCCTGGCATTAAATTTTATTTTAAAGTATAGGAATACAAAGCAAGTAAATATTTTAGAATAGTTTCATATTTTCAAGAAAATTTATATTTTTACAGAAAAAGACTTTCCAGAGTAAAATGGTAACTTGTTGAGTCTTAATATAAACATAGTTTTTTTATTTAAATTAAACTGATAATGGAAAATAACTGTTCAATTAAAATAGTGAACTAAGCAAAAATTTAAAAATGGAATAAATATGATTATATTGACACACAAAGCCTAAATTATATTATTAATAAAATCTGGTTTGTTATTTGATTGGAATAAATATATCTAACTATAGATAAGATTAAAATTTTGTTAATGTAAATGAATAAAAATCTTACCTTAAAAGAGTAGAATGTACTCTCTGCATGGCTTCTCGTTTCTTTGTTCTATGTTGTTTAGCAACTTTATCTGCTAAAGATAAGGCTATTCTTTCACGAGCTGGCAAGTCTGGAATTTTAAATTGTGGTCCTCCTACATTTTGAGGTAAAGGAGTGTTGCTGCCATCTAGACGAAACGGAGTACCTTCAATTTCTCCCCAAGTCATTAGAGGAGACTCACAAACACCTGTAGAACATCAGATGGTTAATGTTAATGCATCAGATCATATAGTTTAAAATTAAATACATAATTTTTTAAAAATTATATTCAAACAGGAAAATCAATCATATACTTGTATTCATAAAGAAATTAAAGCTCTATATTTGCTAATAATGCATACTCATTAAAATTTGCCATTGACAAATATGCTAATATCAAATTATTTGATTCCTTCAAATGAAACAGATTCAGACATCCAATGCAAGTATGCGATTTATTGTACAGTACATGTAAAGATTTACAATAGATTCTTCAGGCCTTCAGCAAGTGTACTATGTCGATAGTACATTCACTGTGGGGCCTGAAGAATCTATTTGCCCTATAACAAATAGATTCTTCTCTAGTAATGTACTTGCTTAATATCATCTGTGTTACCATTAGAGTATATGTTTCATTTAAAGAAAGCAAATAATTAAAGTACCTATTATTATTATAACTTTCATATAAAAGAAAAATCATCAAAAAGCATGCTTTTAATTTCCACTTAAAGATCCTATTACTAATGAGTATTTAATCCTCAATTAATAAATATATATGAAAAGAACTATAAAATACTATATTAATATTAAAAGTTGAAACATGTTTTTAAATTTTCTACATAATTATTATTATAAAATGATAAAAAATACTTTGGGGCAATCTTCCTTAATATCTTTAATATTTAAGATAAATTTAAATAAATATTTATTAAACTTGAATTACTGTATGTATTAAGATAGAAACACAATTTTCATATATATTTACAGAGTGGTCCACTTTAATCAATCCACTGGAATAACTCAAAAAATACAAACACAACAAAAAACTCATTGAATCAAAAATATTAGACTTCAGGGGACCACAAGATCAGGTGATCAGTTTTGTCATAGATAGTGTTACAATCGGTGAAAACTGGGTCAACTTTATTTTCTTAAATGGAAACACCCATTTTTATCACATTCTGATTCCACATCAGAAACAAACAAACGAATGTTTGAACTTTTATGTGGCTATCACACCATGTGTATATGCATCTATCGATATCTGTGAAGTTCATTGCTAAAAAATTATTAGGAAACTTATTATTTGTTGGAATTATTCTTTTCCTTCAAATAATGAACTGAAACAAAAACACAAACCACAGCTTGAGGTTATCTTTAACTTAATATATTTCATTCATTCATTATTTCTTTACGAAACTCTATGATGATCAATACATTTATCATTTAATTTAAACTATTAGTGAAGTTCTTGTGTGGTCATCACTTGCCATTAGGCATCACTCTGCACATTGTCTCTTGACTAAACGTGTTTAAGTACTTTTGAAAAAATCTTTAATTATTTGTAGTTTATTGATATCCATAACTTTGGGAATAGTACAGTAGATCCCCCTATAAGACGGGTTCCTATAATTACGATTCCTATAAGACAGCGAAAAAATTGTGGCGGTATCTGTAAACAATGGTAAAAAAACTCTTATAATTACGTAAAATGTCATCGGGCAGCCGAACTACTTTCCGCCGTCCAGTGCCACGCTACACAGTTTAGGCAGGTAAATTGAGTTTAGTATTGTCTGTACATATAATTATATATAAATTAGGTACTGTATATATAATTATATATTAACTTAATTTATTGTAACTTTTTTATAATTATATATATACTTTCCGCCGTCTAGCGCTACGCTACGGACAGTTTAGGCGAGCTATTGTCTGTACAGTATGTAAATTAGATACCGTAAGTCTAATACAGTACTGTAATTTTATACATTTCTTGTGAAAGAAACATTTCTTATTCAACGGCGATTAAAATTATTTCTATTAATGATGTCTTTAAAGTTCAACGAAGTTTTCGCAGAAAAATAACATCAGAAATCGCAGCCACGGTTTGCTGCACTGTTCCGCGACAAAAACAAGCTTGAGCAACGGAGATGTCAAATGGTGCACACTTGGTAAGTAATCCTACAATTTTTTGTTTATAGCATAGTTTATACGGATTATTTCCAAAACAAATATACATATTTTGGAAATGTTGAGTCAGATTAGTCTAGAATCGATTAATTTTATGGAAGAAAACCTTTCAAACAGCAGTAGTCCATAAACTTCACACGTATCGGGCTGTGATTCCTACAAAATTGATTCATAAAGAACGGAATGTATCTACCATCTTATAGGGGGATCGACTGTAATTATGGATGATTTTACTCGTACTTCCTCATAAATTGCTGAAGTGTTGCTTATTCTCAGTGAACGTCATAAAAATTACCATCAAGCCATTGCACTGTACCATGCACAGTATTCAAATAGACAATGTCCAAATCATACTACAATGCTTTTCAGAATGCTGAATTACAAGAGCCTGTCAGGATCACTTGACATGCAGGAAATTAAATCATAACTATGATAATGATAAATGTTTACCTGTCATTTTAGCAGCTATTCACCTCTAACCTCTTAATAGTAGCTGACAGATGGAAATGCAAATATGTATATCTAAGACAATTTAGATATACTTATTTGTATATATTAGACATACTTTCCTTCGTCAATCCATAGAATGTTAAAAAAACCAAGTATTATGAATATAACATACTACTAACACAAGATCTTACTCAAAATGATTTGATATTACATAAGCAATATTGTTGATGGCACAAGAAATGTTCAGAAATGATGCAACTTTTTAAAATTATGTTCTATTTTCTGATGAAGCAACATTTCAAAATACTGTACTGGGAAACTAAATAGGTATAACTGTTTTATTGTTCAAATGTGAAACCTCAAAGGTATGGGATAGATGATGTTCAACATTGCTGGAGTGTAAATGCATGATGTCATATTATCAATGGTTACCTAATAGGTGCATAATTTTTCCATGGAAATGTGAGTGGGCAAAACTTTCTAGAGTTTGCTTAAAGATGTTGATATTCATACAAGGCAAACAACATGAATTCAGTTAGATGGAGTGGGCTCCACTATGTATGAATTATAGTAAATTATTTATGTAGGCACTTTAATTTATGGAAGATGGATTGGATGACATGGATCAGCACAAAGGTCTCTACAATTGCCAGACTTGACTACACCTGACTTTTATTTGTGAAGATATTTAAAGAATGCTGTCTGCAGACAAGAACCAACAACTAGAAATGATGTGATCAGAAGAACAAACAGCTTGTGTAAATATACAATAAAACATTTTAATAAAATCCATGAGATATTTCCAACAGAGAATTGACTTATGCATTCAGCAAAATAAAGATCTTTGAATGTAATTTGCCATAGGAGAAAACTCATATTAATTAAACATTCTGCTGAAAGTTTACTAACAACAACATATTAAGTAATTTTAAGATGCAAAAACTTGTCACAGCTGAAGGTCATCAGTTTATATTTGAGGAGGAAAAAAATAACAATAATAATAATTCCACCAAATAATAATTTCCTAACAAATTTTTTAGCATTTTCTTTCCAATTTTTTCAATGAATTTCATAGATATCCACAGATGTGAACATGTGATGCGATGGTCATGTAAAAGTTCAAACATTCATAACTTCCAATAAGTGCATCTTTCAAAAAGAAAAAAAAAAACATGTTTTTCGACATAGAATCATAATATGCAATAAAAATGGGGGTTCCCATCTAAGTAAAACTGACTCCATTTTCACTAATGTAGTGCCATTCATGATGAAACCAATAACCCTGTCTTATGATCACGTTAAAGTCTAACATTTTTGGTTCAATGAATTTTTTGTAGGATGTATATTTCTTGAGTTATTCCAGTGGATTGATTACAATGAACCAACCTGTACATTAACAATATATACTTCTAAACTTAAACTTTTTGAAATCATTCATCAAAATTATTAATGTACATTCTTTTCTCTAACATACCTGGTGCTGGGGAAGGAGTTGCTACAAAACTATAACCATTTACTTTAGGTGACTCATCAGGTAATATTTCTTTTCCATCTATTCCAACTTTGCCTTCTTTCATTTTAGCCTGGACTGATGCTGCTTCTGCAATGACTGCTTTATTAATTTGATCATTAAAAGGAGGAGTTTGATAACGAGAATTTACATGAACAACTTCTTGTTGTTTTGTATATTTTAGTTTTTCTTCTGGAGTAAGTTCACAACCTAAAAATAATTTTTAGTTAGTTATCAAACTTACATTTTCAATTGCACTAAATTAACTATATAAGAGATTGTACTTTTATATTGTTCATTATATACTTTTATATACTTATATACTAATTACTTATATACTTTTATATATACTGAAATTCTGATATACTATATAATAGATATCCATAGTGTTTATATATCTGTATATTTTATTAAATTAACTTTTGCAAACAAATCTGTTAAATGTGTTTATTAAAAACAAGCAGTAACCTGTAAAAAATGGTGGAAGAAGAAATGAAAAAATAGATTTTTACTTAAAATTATGCATTCTTTATCATAATTTAAAATTTCTTTACAATGTAAAAATTGTCATTATATAATTATTTGCTCCATTGTCTTAAATCTGACATATAAACTTTAATTTCCTGTTGCTGCAACTAACTTATATAATTTTGTCAATCTTTGAATTTGTATATGAATCATCGGCAAAATCGGTATATTGGCAGATGGCAGATATGTCATCTATCACTATTATTATTGAGTAAATTTTATCAATGTCACATTCAATATAATTTTATAATTTTTCAATTATGATTCACTTACATTAAAAAAAAAAAAAAAAAAATTCAATTACAGTAGAGCATCGTTTATCCAAAACGTCAGTTAACCGAAAGCATTCAGTCAGCAAATTTTAATTTTCACTAGTGCTGTGGCGCTGCAATCTTTGGCTATATCTTGGGCTACGCCAATATTTTTTTTTGGTTGGTGTGTGTTTTAGCTGGCAGCACTGGCACTTTTGTGTAGTATTTTTCTGAGGACTGTGTGTAATGCTAATTCGAACGCTTTTGATACTAGATTAACTTCTAAAGTATAATTTTTTTTTGTTTTTATATTTTTCAATATATTTATTTTGTTTGTAAAAAAATAAAGAAATCATTTTTAACGATACAATAGCCATGATTATTATTTTAAAAGGTTTATGTTAGGCTTAACATCAACGAAAATTCAATGCAAAGTGACACGCAACTGAGAAAAATTTCAACATGGGATAGGTTAATATATTTTTTCGTACATAATCGGTTATCCAAAAAATAAGTTATCCGAACAACCTCAGTCCCCAATTGATTCGGATAAATGATGCTCTACTGTATTTCCAAGGCATTGGCTCAGCTTAAGATCAACTAAAATTCACTGCAAAATGTAACACACAGTATTAAGATTTATCAAATTATAAGGAAAATAATAATTTTTCTCACTTTTAACTTATTGTAAAAAAAATTATATATTCTACTGAATGAGAATGACAAAATGACATAATTATAACTAGTGGAATATGAATTTCTACTGCAATAATTTTTGAATTAAAATTTTTTTTAAATCACCTGTAAATTTTAATTGTTTGTCATATATGCAAACAATAAAATAAATACTAAATTTACGTAAAAAAAATATATATATATATATATATATATACAAACATAAGATAATAATGTTAGAAGACACAACCAAATTAATTTGAAAATCACTTAAACAAAAAAGTGGTATATATGCTTATATACTGAGCCATAGCATCAGAAATAATTTTTCTTCTTGAATGAAAGTGAACTGAAAAAAAAAAAATATATATATATATATAATTTAATAGTTAATCAATTAACTATTAAGATTCAATAGATTTGTTCTAGGAAGTATTTAAATTGAAATGGGATTGCCAAAGCAATGCACATTCCATCAATAAATACTTTGTATAGAGCGGGTGAAATGTACTGTACAGACATATTAAGTTGTTAGATTTTACCTCAATTATTTTGTTACTAATGGAATAATCTTTACTTTTATAATTAAATACATCTGAGATAATTTTCATAACAAAATATTAACAAATGTATGGGCTCTCATTTGTATGTTCTCTTCATTAGAATTTATTTCTTTTTTTTCTGTTAGCATTCTGTACAAACTATCCTATAAAAGTTCTATGTCTAAAAATCAAATGATTTTATCACTTGACTTTTGGTTTATGTTTCACCAAGCAATGATTTTAGACTAAATTTACATAGTAACAAAATCAAAACATTGAATTTTTGTTCTAAAAACTTTTTAGTTTTTGAAAGAGTTTTGCTCTCCATTAACATCAATACTATTAATTTTTAGGTTTAATTTCTATTCTATTTTTTTTCTTCTATGTTCATAATTAAAAACTTTCTCTTTTTTTAATTAATTAATTTATCTTATTTACAGTTGGAAATGTCTATGACAATGGACCTCCCCACATTAACAATAAAGCAAAAAAAAAGCTAAAAAATATATAAAATACAAGTAAAATAATTAAAACTTTGCATTAATTTGATATTATGTTACTCTTACATGTTTAATATTAATGAAATGACAAACAATTTTAAACTTATAAAAGAAAATAGACTGAAAAATAATGCTTTTTTAAATATAAAATAAGAAAGTTTAAATATAATTTTAAACTAAATTTAAGTTTTTAAGACAAATTAGACAAAAATAATATTAAACAGAAATTACAACATACCATCTGGAACATACATCAGTGCATTCATATTTCTGTATGACCATAAAGCTAAGTCTTTCTCTTTTCTTTCATTAGGTGGTATTGCTAATAATGTGCGTAACTTGCTATTCTCTTCATATTCATCCTTATATAACCAAGGATATTTTTGTTTATGTTGTTTTTCTGCCTCTTTTTTAATAACTTCAAAAGAAGCATTATCTTCACTCGTATATTTCTGCAAAAATTCATCTAGGGGAACTTTTTTCTCTTCTGTTTGGAAAAAATAAATTCAAATTAAAAATTTGTTAAAATAAAAAATTATATGTTAGCAATAATATTATTATTATAAGTTATCAATGAAAAACTTAACATACATAAAGCCACCTTAGTGATCTGAGCAAGTATTTCCTGGAGCAAGTGAGAAATTGTAGTTTAGAAAATGTACAACTAATTGAGGTATTTTTTATCAACTTTTACCAATTTTTTTTTGTTGCAAGATAATAAATCTCAGCTTTGAAAAAACCTTGGGGATGATGTTTAAAAATAAACCTTCCTGGGATTTAATAAAGGAAATATGTTATAGGGTATCCCAATAACAGTGGAGAATTTAACTGTAGAATGAAATGCATCAATTATTGAATAGCTGTGGATATTTTTATTTCAGTATAAATAACATCAAAACCCATTTCAGTGCTAAGTTATTTTTATGTTTGGAAGACAGTGTCTGTCAAATGTACCCCGAGACTCTGATGGCACATGTGCACTCTTTTCATATAAACTTGCTTATGATACTACTGCATAGTTCTGGCCCATTTCACTAACAACGTATCAAATCTCCATCTTGAAATCACAGATTGTTTGTAGGTTGTTGGCATAGACATAAGATTTGATAAACTCCCACAGGAAAAAGTTAGTGTTTGAAATTGCACATTAGTGGCTAGTTTTGGTTAGCATGGAGTGAGATGACACAGCCTAAAAATCATTTTTGAAAAAGTTCAGCCCAATCACTGATAATCAATGACTTTTCAAGGTTGCTAATCACACAGAACATCAATGGTATGCAATTTATATCTGGAACTGTTAATGGAAAACCCTTTATATCAAGAAAGCAAGAAAGTCTATGATAATGATAATGAGTAAAAATTATACTTTTCTTTTTAAACATTATAAATGTTGATTTTTAACACTGAAAAAAATTACCTTGACTTGTAAAGTTTAACATTTGATTTTTGTTAATCATATATTAACATTTGATTTTTACTTTTGAAACAAGCAAATTAATTTCACTCTCCTATTTTTAAGTATAAGCAATCTCTGTAGTTACAAAGTACCAGTCTTGTTATTCAAACTTGGAACATGCAAATGGAGAAATCCAAGAATTTGGTTGTCTCTCTATTTATCTTTAAAAGTGTTATTGTATATCTATAAAATACATTAATAGCTTGATTGGCTAAAACAACATATTTCCATTTTTATTTCTAATAATACAAATATGAATGATGGCTCATTCATCTTTTAAGATTTTTCCTCTTTTATCTCTGTGGGCATTAGGAAGGTCTGTTTTCAGGCCATCAGAAGTATGGCAGATCTACAATAGGCTGATCTGATAGTGAGGAATGGGTCTAACAAATCACCCTAAATCCTCTGCTAGAATTCAATCCTAGACTCCAAAGCAACAGGTTGATGTGATGTCTAACCATCTTGACCATTCAGCTGGCTCATCTTATAAGTTATCATTTAATAACTTTTTATTTGAATAATAATTTCTTTTATGAGTAATAAATAAATTTTTCTGAATTTTTATTATTAATAAGAAGCTGCCAAAAAAAATTACGTTAAAAATAAATTTTTTTCATATTGTATTCCTTTCCAGAAATAATAATAACCTTTATTAATTTACCGTATTTACTCGCACATAAGATGCAATTTTTATTCATTTTTCACTGCTTCAAAAACCTAGGTTGTCCTATATGCACGAACAGAGGATTCTTTATAGTTTTGCAATAATTTCTGTGAACCGTGTATACTTCATGCTGTCATTATAGGTCTACAGTCTATTTATCATAAGTTGGCACCTACTGTAAACATATTTAGACATACACCCCTTTGTTTATTGGTTTAATCTTATATCCATCAATTAAAAACCACGTTGCATCTCATTCATTCACAGAAAATAGTTTCTTGTTATTTATAAAAACATTAATGAAATACAGGTCATTTAGCAATGATTATAAATGTAGTTATTTTATATTAGTTAAATTGTTATTTTTAACCTGTCCTGCATTGTTCCTGAAACTTTTTGTGTTGACCTCATTGACCTACATGGGCGATCCCAAATATTTTTGTGTCTGCATCAGAATGTTTTTGATACTAAATGTCACTGTTTCACAATTTTTATATTAAAACGAACTGTTAAAATGTAATTTTTTTTGTTTTTATATTTTTCAATATATTTATTTTGTTTGTGCAACATAAAAAAATAATTTTCAATGACACAGTAAACACAATTATTATTTTAAAAAAAAATTTTTGTTAAGCTTAACATCGACGAAAATTCAACATGGTGTCACAGGCAACAACAAAAAAAAAAAAAAAAAATTTCAACATTGAAATAGGTTAATGAATATTAGAACATTCTGAATCATTAAAAAAAAACTTTTCCCAATCATGCAATAATGTTTTGGTTTTTGTTTTCAATTCATCATGTATTAAGGCAAGCATGATGTTTGCCTTAATACATGCATTTGATAGTATTTTGTGATTAAACAAAATAAAATTAGAATTGTATTAATAAATCTAATTTTTTTTTATTTTGATCTCTAAAGTCACACCTCAACCTATACGCGAGATCGTCTTATATCTGAGTAAATATGGTATACCTTTATTTTTGGATTCCAATTCTTCATCATTAATATTGTCATCATCTCTGATTCTTTCTGGAGATTTATTACATTTTGATATTGGTGTTTCAAAAGTACTTGGTGTATTACCTGTAAAATTAACAATAATATAATTAATTTAGATAATTCATTTAGTTTGTAACTAATATAACAAAACTTTTTATTGACTGCTATGTAGATGTGCCTTCTAAAGAATAATAATAATTACGAGGGTCATTGTAAATTTGTTTCTGTAGATATTTTTATTTAAGATAATGAAACAAAACTTATTTTACAACACATATGATACCTTAGCTATATTTCTACATAGTCGCCTTGCAAATTTAAACATTTGTCATAGAGTGTCATCAGGTTTTCTATGCCTTCTGTACACTCAGTTACTGCCAAGTTTTTGAACCAGTCATTAACGGCCTCTTTCAGTTCGTTGTCACTTCCATAGTGATTCCTGGCTAAAAAATCCTTCAATTTTGGGAAAAGATGTAATCACTCGAAACCTAGTCCAGGCTATAAGAAGGATGTTCAAAAACTTCCCATTTAAACTGTTGAAGCAAGTTTTGTCAATGTAGCAGCATGCAGACGTGCATTATCTGAAGAAGCACAATGCTTCTGGACAACAATCCCTGCCGTTTGTTTCGAACTGAAGCTTCATTCATCACATTACCATAAACCTCGGTTATCTATCTGTAAATTTTGATAGGGCAAACTTTTTCGCATTCAAAAAGTGAATTACACTATAAACCTCACACTTGGCAGGATCTTTAATTTTGTCACACATTTCAAAGTCACACTGTAAACAGTAAATGATCATTGTGGCTTGCTGTTAGCATCAGACTGACATGAAAACATGGGAAGGTCTGTGACGTGGCAGTGGAGGGTGGTGGGACAACTGCACAGCTTGTCAGATTAAAATGTTCTTTACTTTTAGAATGATCCTCATACAAAGGACAAAATTCAGGTTTGATTTATAATACTAGTTTCAATAAACAAAACAAAGTATTGCTAAAATGTTCAGATTAGTAAAAAGTTTATCTATACTAATATTATAAAGATATAATGTTTGTAAGTTTCTTTGCAGCAGGTAATCTCTGAAACTACTCATCCGATTTCAAAAATTCTTTCACCAATATTTAGAATGGAACCTCAGGGTGGACATAGGCTGTATATTATTCCATTAAACATTCATATAAATTAAAATATATAATCTAGGTTAAGGCTTTTATGTCAACAGATGGTCCTACGAGTATGACGCCCTAAGTTTGCTTTTCTGTGAGGCATTGTGCTTTTCTGTGAAAATGAACTAAAGCAGATCATCTTCTATCTATCTATATAAATAAAAATGTAATGTTTGTTTGTTCCTACTGATTCCTTGAAATTTTGACACAATGCTGCATTCGAATATGCACGTGTTTTTATATAATATAAGTGTTGAAATTTCCCCCAGGAGGAGATGGACAGGATTAAGGCTTACTGTAAAGTACTCTGCTTCCATTTATACTATTTCAGATGCGGTTTTTTGTGTTTTTGATTGCGTTTTAATAGGGTACATCAAGAAAATGTACACTAAGGGATTTTTCGAAAAATTCCCCCCATGGGGGAAGTGTTATACATTTATAATAGATACATTTTGAGCCACAACAACGCGTGGCGGGGTCTGCTAGTATTATTATAAATTTGAAAAAAATTAATGTTTTTTAAAATAAAATTTCAAATATAAAAGGCAGAAGCAAATTTATTTATTCTTAATGAATAGAATTTCTTAATCAAATCAACAATTTTCTCCAAATTTTTGCATGAATTATTGAAAGTTTACAGGTGAGAGTATAGTTGTGTATAATATGCAGAAAGTACAATACTTTTTGTTATAACTTTTAGTTTTAGTTAAACAATTTTTTTGGAAAGAGCAATCTTTAAAAATTTTAATACACAAAATACTATTATTATAAAACATAATTAACTATTCATTGAAATTCATATATGTAAATTATACATTTAAAAATAATCTTAAGAATGATATTGGAATATAAGATGACTTTCTTTTTTAATATTTTATTATTATTTTTTTAACATGTATAATTTAGTATCAAAATGAATGGCTACACACAAATATTTCCAGAATTGAAAATAAGAGAGTTAATTATTTATTAGTTAGCTGTGCTTTTATTTGGAAACATATTCAAAAATAGATGATTTGCACTATCTTGAAGATAAATGAATATTAAAAAACATTTGAGGATTAAATATGAGGGCTATTTTTTAAATAATGTCTGTTTGTGAATAAGAGTGAGAATGACACGCGATCGCAGCAGTGTGCATGAGCATCTGCTCCCAGCATGCTTTGCATACATTTAGATGCCATTTGCAGCCATATCATCTGTCTGTGTGCTGAGCTGTAGAAGTTTATAATGTTTAAGAAAATTGAGTCTGCCATCGACTGTAAGATACGATCTATTATTTGATTTCAGAATGAAAAATCATGGCAACTATCTTTTGGGACAAAAAAGGGAATTTGTCAGTGGATTTTATGCCAAGAGACACAACAATCAATTCTGATGCATATTGTGTGACCTTGAGAAAACTCTGGCATGCCAGAGTTTTCTCAAGGTCACACAATATGCATCAGAATTGATTGTTGTGTCTCTTGGCATAAAATCCACTGACAAATTCCCTTTTTTGTCCCAAAAGATAGTTGCCATGATTTTTCATTCTGAAATCAAATAATAGATCGTATCTTACAGTCGATGGCAGACTCAATTTTCTTAAACATTATAAACTTCTACAGCTCAGCACACAGACAGATGATATGGCTGCAAATGGCATCTAAATGTATGCAAAGCATGCTGGGAGCAGATGCTCATGCACACTGCTGCGATCGCGTGTCATTCTCACTCTTATTCACAAACAGACATTATTTAAAAAATAGCCCTCATATTTAATCCTCAGATGTTTTTTAATATTCATTTATCTTCAAGATAGTGCAAATCATCTATTTTTGAATATGTTTCCAAATAAAAGCACAGCTAACTAATAAATAATTAACTCTCTTATTTTCAATTCTGGAAATATTTGTGTGTAGCCATTCATTTTGATACTAAATTATACATGTTAAAAAAATAATAATAAAATATTAAAAAAGAAAGTCATCTTATATTCCAATATCATTCTTAAGATTATTTTTAAATGTATAATTTACATATATGAATTTCAATGAATAGTTAATTATGTTTTATAATAATAGTATTTTGTGTATTAAAATTTTTAAAGATTGCTCTTTCCAAAAAAATTGTTTAACTAAAACTAAAAGTTATAACAAAAAGTATTGTACTTTCTGCATATTATACACAACTATACTCTCACCTGTAAACTTTCAATAATTCATGCAAAAATTTGGAGAAAATTGTTGATNATGCATTTGATTTTGTTTTCCTCCATTAAAGCAATTTCTGTTGTTCATTAAGTCATGTAACCTTATAACTGTAGTTTTATTAAATTCATATTTGTGTCCACTTTTTATCTGCCATAATTATTGCTGCTGATATCTAATAAAAGGCAAAGGAAGTATGACTGTTCACAATTTTCAAATATAACTAACAAATACAGTAAAAAACAATGTTTTTTTAATAATTGATACTGTTAGAAATTAGCAATAGTTGTTAATATTTTAATTATTTAAAATAAATTATTAGCAAATAAGATATGTGAAAATGGGATTAAATTATAAGATCATTTTTAAACGTTTATTTTAACCCAAATATTTTCCATTATTAATTTCAAATTATCTAAAAAAATAAAGAAATGTATAAACTTTAAATTAATTACCTTATTAAACTATTTATTATTTATTTATTTTACATTTATATTTATTAACTTATAAATTACAATTTATATAGAATTTTAATTAATTATTTTAAAAAATTCAAACCAAATACTTTACATAATGAACTTAAGGATGTTCCAGGTCTGTTTGACTTTGGACAATATTTTACTTGAATTTCTCTTAATTTAGCAGCATCATTAGTTTGTAAAGCATCCAAGTATTCTATTTGTGCTTTTAATTTTGGCAGATCAGGAAAAAAGTCTCTTTCAATAATGTTTTCTAATTCCTGAAAACAAAAATAATTAAATATAATGTGAAAAAATTTTCAATAATCTGAGATAAAAATATCATTTTTTTTTCTATAAAATTATGTAAATTTATGATCATTTTATCAGAAAGGCTTCTCTTAGTAGTAAAATGTTCAAATAGATATAATCAAAAACTCAAAAAGAACTTAGAATTGGTTTAGTTTGATTTTGATGGGTTATACCAGGAGTGGCCAACATACAGCCCGCGGGCCAGATCCGGCCCGTCTAATGAATTTATGTGGCCCGCGATCAATCTTTCAATATTAGCTACTCAAATCCAAATAGCTCGATTTAAAAATTCTGACGCCTGAAAAAGAAAAAAAAAAGGTCAACAATTCACTGTGCGTTTAGAGTTAACCCTCCGTTACAAATCTTGTAAGTACAGCATAGAATGTTGATAAAGCATGATAATGTGAAAAATATATCTGTAATCTCTATGTACAATTTAGTCTCTACGGGGTGACACCACAATGAGATCTCGCACCACCTCAAAATCTTCCTAGGGCAGCCTCTGGTTCGGCCCGTGGAAAAAGTTTTCTTTCCAATTCGGCCCGGGGGCAAAAACTGTTGGCCACCCCTGGGTTATACCTTTGTGTGGATTGTCTGTGCGTCATCAAAATATTAATATTAGAATTACTGTAAAATGACAAAGTATCATAAGTAGCATTCAGTCTTTCTTTCCTTTCTCAACTGCCAATTATAAGGAATGAAAGTGAGGCAAGTCATCATGTCTGAAATATTATTTTGCAATAGGCAAAATAATATCTCAGGGCTGATGATTTGAAAAAATATCCTGCGAGTTTTTAGATTGAAATATAGTAATTTGGAAAAAATGTAAGTAATATACAAGTGTAAAATTTCAACACAATATTTTTGAAAATAGAAGAAATCTACATTTTATATTTATTGACTAAATATACATTTTAGCTTATGAAACTTGGGAGACATACTTGCATCATATTATAATGGAGTTGAACTGTATATAAACTATAGTTCATTTAAAACTTTTGGATAGTTTTTTATAGCTTAGAGGGCTATTTTGGATTATCCACATTTTATGGTTTTCCATGCAAATCCATGCACTAATTAGCACAGATAATCATGAGTTTGGTGTATATTAATCCAATTTCAAGAAAGAATTTAGTTGTTATTGGATCGTGTTTATAACATTTATTTCCCATGTGGTAGAATCAATTTTACTGCTTATAAAGAAAATTCAATGATTGTAAATGATTACATATGTGCTTATATCTTTCCTTAACAATATTATAATAAACATTACGTGAGAACATACCGTCTAATGTAGATTATAAACTTTTACATTTATGAAATAGATTATTATTAAGGCAAAGACAGCTACACATTATATGAGCGATAATTTATAACTTTTGTATGATTTTTAGTTTGTAGACGAGTACAATTACACCTCCAAATAAAATAGTTGGGACATTATCAGAGATATAGACCACTGGTGCACAAACTATTTTCATTTCCGACCCCCATTTTGTGTAAAATTTTGTGACAACCCTTAGATAGACAGTAGACAAAAAAAGTCTACTGTCTATCTAAGGATCGCCACAAAATCGTCAACACAGTTAAAGGGAAATTCTTTCTGGGATTTGCACTTATGTTTTTGCCTTATTAGAGGTCTGAATAAAACACATAGTTTTACGAAACAATGGCTTTATTTATGCATATGGACATAAATATTTATTTAATGAAAAATACTATTAATAAAAAACAAAAAACTTTACATCATAAGAAGTCAACGTGAGGTATGCGCTTGCAAAGAGCTCACGACCGCTTCTACGTTCGGATCCGTACTGGAAATCACAAGTCCTAAGTCATCCTCCGTCCGTATTAGGTACTGATACAGACAATTGTTTTCGTAAAAAAATATACAGTAGTTCTATTTTTATAAATAATATAATTTCATTTCCCTATTTTACCGGTACTCGATACTTTGTTGCCTTATATTTTTTATTGTCAAATAAATTTCCTGAAAAATTTTCTTGCGACCCACGGTTTGCGCACCACTGCTATAGACCAAACCCACAGGAGCAAACCCTCTATGCGTGACTCTCGGCAAGCCAGTCTCCGAAATCGGCCTACTTCAAAGACGTGCACGATCGGGAGTCGCGTCGCTCCGCTAAGACGATCACATTTAACTATTTAGCCCAAGTAATTATGCTAGTTTTGAATAGCACGCTCGACCGTTCACGGAGTACTCGACATTATATAGTCTTAGAGATCGTGCTGCTATCCCATTCAAAGCATAAAGAACAAGCAGTTCATGATGATAACCAAACTTTAGAAGTAAATATCTGACGAAGGGTCACACGTACAGGTATGGTTCCTATGACTTTTTTGCTTGTACAGAGAGTCTACCCTCCCAGAGTTGACATCTTACCATAGATGTCCTAGTTCAAATCATTATACACGTTTATATCTATGTAATTTAGTACAATTAATTAATCTTTTGGCATACTGTTGTAATTACTGAAGATATAAAATTAGTTTTGTGTAATTTTCTATACAATTGTGTATTTAAAAGCAAAATAAGACTGCAATTAAGTCAATTACTCTTCACAAGAATATTTCCACCAAACTTACTTTTGTATAAGTTTCTTCGTCTAATATATTTTTCGAACTCTCGAGTTTCTCGGTCACAGCTTTATCGCTTTTAACCAATGACATCGTCGTTTTACGTCGCTTACTTATTTAATAATCGAATAAAACTCTCCAACTGAACGATCCTCCATTATAGCTACGACATCGACACCCAGCGCCATCTGGAAATTGAAGTCTATCGATGAAACGACGACATTTATGAAAATTTTATATTTATTCATTTTAATTCTACTTAATCGCTTCGGTATTTTTATTAATCTAAGTGCAAAAAGCTTGATAATATTTTAATTAAAAAATTCTTGATAAATATTGGATAAAATAATCTAATTTTATACATTATTTTCAATTCTCCGTTTAACGAGTATTTTTTTAAAACACTTTCCGCCCCGTGGGCACTAAGAGGGCCTGTTTTAGCAAGCCCGTTATGGGTTCGGCAGGCCCATAATGGGGCGGGCGAATGGTGAGGGACGAGGCCCGACGTATCCGCTCCCGAAAAATTCCTGGGGTTTCCCAGAGCGGTAGGCTGCTATCTTAACCGCTAGGTCATCCAGCCATACGTGGGCTCAGTCAGGAGATGACGATGACTTTTTTGCAATTCCATGATGAACTCGAATACAAAAATAAGTTATCTGGCGAAGAGAAAGTAAGAAAGAATAAATAAATAAGTTTATTGATTAGCAAATTGTTTTTATAAGGGCTTTCAAACGATAATCTAAGATTGTTCAACAAATTCTCAATAGTAGTGGGTAACATTTCCCACCATGCCGTTTTACAAGATGATAAAAGTATATATCAGTTGCCTATAATCATTTTCTGGTAATACAGTAATTTTTTTCCAAAACGAAGAAAATTCATTAATAAATTCACAGCGAGAGGTGGTCTACATAGTTTCATCCTTATCGCGGCCCTACGCACAGAACGATTTAGACGAAAAATTTGCTTGACTAAGAATAGTTGTATTTTTTTCACTTTATCAACCGCCGATCTCCTCACGTTAAAAATGCATACAAAATGTTCCATGTTATTAACACATCAAATAATCTAAAATTTATGGCAAGAAGTTGGTACAGAAGTTTGGCGTTGTAAAGAATTCGGATGGTCATTTAGAAAAAGGATAAAAAGAAATGGGCTTAAGGGTTCTCCTGAAGATAATCCTTTGTCAGATGGAACGAAATCCGTACAAAAAGAGATTCTTCTATTGAATGATAAGTAAGATTTTTTAGTAGATTGATAAACTTTGTTGAAAGACCTGCACGTTCTACTTTGAACCATATGTCGTGCTCTATAGAATCGAAAGCTTTTTCTAAAACTATGAAACGTGCATACAGTTTTTCATTTTCTCGATAGTGTTAGTTGAACAATTTCATTCGAAATAAACAATTTATATTCGACACTTGTGTTCTCCTCGATAAGGAGTGATAACATTATACACTTCCATCTAATGTTGAGTGGACGGTTTGCTAGTTTGGACGAAAACAATTTCCTTAAACTGATTTGGAATAAAATATTATTTTCAACTAAAATAGTATTCCATTTCAAAATATTGAAATTTATCTTAAAACGAATTTCTTAATCTAGTTCTGCGCTCTTAATTAAAACTCTTTCCGTCCTGTGGGCATAAGGAAGCCTCTTATAGCAAGTTCTTTACGGGATCGGCCAGGCCTACAATGGGGCCGCCGGGTAATAAGGGATAGGCCGATATGTCAGGACCGACCGACCAACCACCCGAATAATTCCTGGAGCTTTTTCATCCTTGTTCGGATTCGATCCCGGGTCTCCCAAAACGGTAGACTCGCCACCTTGACCGCTCGGACGTGCGGCCGTCTAACGATCCTTATTGCAAATGAGTACTGTACATTAATTGCGCGTTATAGAAAAGTAACATTAATAAAATGTACTCTCGGTACTCTCGAATGGCCGGCATTGTGGTAGATTTGCAAAATCTGCCACAATTCTTTAGATACAAAAGAATTTTTCGGCGTTAAGAAACTCCACGGTCGAATTTGCGTAGTGAGACGAAGCTTTGTCAGGCCAAAAGATAAATTCGACATTTTAACACTGTTGTAATCATCTAATTCTACAATTAATTCATCTTCTCTATCGTTATCGAATGAACACTTCATTGAATCGTCATCGGAATCGCTAACGATATCCATTCAGAATTTCCTTCATCGAGAAACGAGATTCCAGTTTGAGCTTCGTCGTGAATTTTTCTCCGTCAATTATCAAACAATCTGCTCTTAAATATATAATGAGGTGACTGACGAAACATATTCATCAAGCTTATCCTGATTCCATACGTATCAAGTTTTCTGTAGTTTGCATATCTCTATTTTACCCACGTTGAAATTAAATATCGCACAAGTAAGAAAATAGTCCAAACTGAATTTAATGTCTTTCGAGTTGTCCAACAGATTAACATTTAATGCTACCGAGTCTATTACTGTAATATATGTTGATGATTTAGATAAACATTAAATGTAATATAATATATGTTGACAATTTGAAACAAAGGAAATGTAATCAAGTATGTGCCGAGGTGGCGGGACGGAAAAAAGGAGCGAGACAGCTCGAAGTAACCGGCTGGATGTACAAGTGTTTAGTTGTATTAATTAATAAAGAGTTATTTGTATCATATTATCTGGTCAGTTGAGTCGTTTATAATACAATTACCGACATACCCTTTGAAGAAATAAAAGTGAAATTTGCCGGATAGTCATTTGTACAACGGCCATTTAATATATGTAATCCATACGATTTGATCAATTGTAGATATTTTTTTCCCTTAAGGTCGCGCACCGGGTCGTTAGATTTACGGGAATTTAAAATTCGAAGGTTAGTCATAATAAAGGTTATCTTATTTTCCTTCAATTCTTGTAATTATACCTATTAACAGTATTTCATTACTGAGAAAAGGCTATTAAATTTTCTCAGTTAATAATACATTGTAAGTTCGCCGACTTCCAGGGGGAATCGTTAATCCCGCGTCGGGATGATCTAGGGTCGTTCGCGTGTGGGTGTGGCGGAGGAGACAAGGATGACAAGAATCTCACAAAACCCGTTTATTTTAAACATAAAAGTAAACTTACACTAAGGTACAAAAATGTTCTTTACACAATTGGAGGTTCGAAGTGTCGAAGGTGTTTCTACTGTGGCTCGAAGGAAGGCCCCGGGGCAACGGCGGGTGTGGAGATTCGTCAGTCGGTGTCGGCGGTTCGAGTCCGTAGTCACGGGTTACAAGTTTGGCACAACCGACGGAAAACTGCTTTTTCGCGTTGACTAACTGTGTGCGGGTGTACAGTTTCTCGGACTGTGAAAGTCCTCGAAGATCGGGGATTATATCAATCTCCGTTCTTGGTTTTATTTTCTTCCGATTGGCTCCACGTCCCTTTTTTCTCGCTCCCCGATTGGTCTCTCGTCTGTCTCTAAACGAAAGACGATTCCTATTCGAGTCACCAGAAAGATCCGCTTCGAAGAATCTACTCGACACCATCCGTTATTCTGGATGCAAAATGTTGATGGAACTTTGAAACTCGCACTCATATTTTCCACCATTGTTGTCTAGTCTGTGACGTTTTTGAAATTTAACGACACGACGCGATGTCCCTTTTCGTCATTAATCTTTCCTCTTTTCAAAATTTCTATGTTCTAATTATTTGAATATGAGCGACTCGTCAAAGGTCCGTCTCTACTGGAGGTCGTTCATTTCCCATTATTAATCAGTTATAATTATTGCGTTCCGTTTACATCAATAGCGTTTTTTCTCTCGTCGCTGTTTAATATGACTAGAACAACTAATTCGACCTTTGATTGGTTTTTAACAATAGACGATTTTTTCTAGTTTCGTTTTAATAAATTTCTAATAATAAATGTTTAATTTCAACTCCTTTTTGGGACCTGACAACATCATAAGGAAGAATATTCAATAAACAAGGATAATGACCAGACTGGTTGGCTTAATAAATTATCAGAATTGGGCTTAACTGCTATAAAATTATCAGATTTCGGTAGAACTCTGGATGTCCTAGATCAGAAAAAATTGCAAGAATTAGTCCTCCTGACGATCGACCTGGATCGAGTGGTTTCCTCGCTACTTGTTCTAGTATAAATAAATTTGGATATAAAAGCGAGATCTTGCGCTCGTAAGAAAAAGTTAAGCGAATTTCAACTACAGTAATTACGTCGGAAGTTTGCAGAATCTGAACAATACTTTTACAATATACCGTTGCCAATGCAGTGAGTACAATACTTCTTATTGTACTCGCCGCATTGGCAACGGGATAAATGCCAAGCCGTTGTCGTTAAAGCCTTGCATAAATGTTTGCCAGGTGTGAGAGCTCCTTGACGCCTGACGAACATTTATTCAACGTGGAGTAAAAAAGAGGGTGATTTTTAATTCGTGTAAATAAATAATACGTGATAAATATTTTATTCCTTTAATAATTACTCAAACATTATAGTTTTTGAAAGGTGTATGATGAAAAATGAACACGCATTTAAAGTTTTTATTTACATAACCAGTTCCTCACTACCCAGCTGTCCAGGGCCGGCCATCGGGGGGAGGGGGGTGCGGCGGATGCTGTGCACCGGGGCCCCGCGATTGAGGGGCCCTAACATTGTCAAGAATGCGCAAGAAAACTCGACAATATTCCTATCGTTGTCAGTATGACGAAAAGTACATTTTATCGTAAACATTATTATTGTAATCTCTGAATTTCGACAATCTTCAAAGTAATTCTCGGTGATGCGAGTGTTTAGTTTTTGTTATTTGATTCGGGAAACTCCCGAGGATCCCCACCTAAATTCGACTTTAAAATAAAAAAATCTCAATACCGTTAAGAAATGAAAATAATACTGTGGCCGTCGGCCATATAAAATTATATGTATATTTGCATATAGTCGTAGTTTTAAGTAAATACGACTCTGTTCTAATGTATCATATAAACAGAATCGTGCATCATTTAGCACATAGATGACAAGAACAAATTATTTCTGCGTTAGGAGATGAAGTCCTTTAATTAAAGACGATATAAAAGCAGCCACATACTATAGTATCCAAATGGATTGTACTCCTGATATTTCCCATAAGGAACAAACTTCAATTATTATTAGGTATGTAAATTTTGAAGAGAAAAGATTAATTATAAATGAGTCATTTATA